AAATGTGGTACTTTCACTAAACTATTCTATTTTAAATTTTAAAAGCAGAGAAGGTAATCATTATGAGTAAAATATCATTATTTTATGAATTATTATTGAGTTTTATTTTTTCGCTCAAACGGAAATAATTATTATTTGATTTTTATTTTTGGGATTACAAATAATGATTATTTTATGATTTTTTTTTTTTCGCGCAGAGATTATCATTAATTTTCAGTTTTATTTTTCCACTTAAAAATAATGATAATTTATAAAATTGAAAAGGCCATAAAGACGCAGCCTACTGAAATTTTTACCTGAAAAGTTTGAGTCTTATTCCTTTTATAAGGGTGCGGCTACCTCTCAAAAGGATACGTCGGTTATCACGCTGGTATAGTTTTTGAGTTGCTTAATAATCATTATACTTAGTGATTCCATAAACAAAGGCCATGATCCTGAAGGACAATGCAGTTGCAGAAAAAGGGGCATTTAAAAAAAAAGTGTCAAAATAATTACCACTTTCTCACTAAATTTATTTAAAAATGCAAGCCACCGGAGCTACCTTTTTTTAAGAAAAGACAAATTAAGTTTTTTATGCAATCCACCACAGCTACCTTAATACAGTCAATCAATAAAGTTTAGGTACAACGAATTTTTTACAATACGGGCAACTATTTTTTTAATATTTTAGTTTTCGGTAATTTTTTATAAAAATATGGTCAATTCTACAACAAAATCCCCAAAAATCAGAGTTCCAAACCTTGTGCAAAATTTAAGAAAATTCTGCAAAATTTCATTAAAATAATTCACTTTCTATTTACGCTCTCTAGAAAAAGTATTTTAGTCCATTCAATTTTAGTATAATGAAGTGCAAGTGTGAGGAAGCTAGGACTTACCAAACAACAAAAAAAAAATTGCTAAATATCAATGGTAAGTCCTAGCTACCTCAAACTTGCACTTTGTTATACTAAAATTGAATGGGGTAATAACTGAGTACTTAACTTTTTTCTAAAGAGTGTAAATTGCAATACTTGGATGGAAATTCGCAGTTTTCTTTAATTTTGCATAAGGTTTGGAACTCTGATTTTTGGTGTAGAATTAACCATATTTTTATAAAAAATTAGGGAAAATAAAATATTTAAAAAATAGTTGCCGGTATTGTCAAAACTTCACTGTACCTAAACTTTATTGACTGACTGTATATCTTATTTAAGTTAAGTACGACAAAAACTTTCGAAGTACTTCATATCCATATAAGCTTAAAAAGAACTGAATTTACTTAAAAATCAATATGCTTAAATTTAGACAAGTAAGACAAAGTGAACTAATATTTTTCCTTTATGCAGAACGCACTATTGTTTTTTACTTGCTACTTAAGTTTAATACTACTACTACTACTAATGTGATTTATAAATTTTTAATAAATGCGTTTAAACATTTGTGATTTTATTGTCCTTCCTTCAACCGATCGTATTTAATATGGAAGGGAAATGTTTCGACAAGCCTGATTAGAAATGTAGATCTAAGGTGACGAATTTATAAAGGTTTGGAAGTATAAAAAACGGATGGAGATCGAACTAGATCTCATCTGTCGAATTAGGAACTGGTTTGGAACTAAAGAAAAGGGGATGCAGAACGAACTAGACCTCATCTGTCGAATTTGAAACTGGTTCGGAACTATAGAAAAAGGGATGCAAAACGAACTAGATCTTATCTGTCGAATTTAGAACTGGTTCGGAACTAGAGCCAAAGGGATGCAACGGGGGACAATTGACACTTCCTAGGACATCACAATGTTAAATTCGCCAGTCGCTAGCATGCAAAAGAGAATTAACGCGTACTAGTCATGGTTCCAAACGCACTAGAACCGAACCAGCTCCGCACTAGTTCGTTTCCCTACAGGGTAATTGCACAGTTGACTGCGGTTCTGACAAAATCAGAGGAGAGGGTAATGCAGAAGATTAGCGAGCTGGCTGCTGAAACGGCAAATTTGAAGTTGTCCATTGCAGCCATCGAGAAGAGAGTCACTGCGGTTGAGAATGCATGCGCTGATGTTCTCACTTTACGCTCCGAGCTCATGGGTACCAAGGCTCAGCTCACTGCTCTTGAAAGCAGTGCAGTCGCTACGGATCTTATTATTAACGGGATCCCCCAAGCAGCTGGTGAGTGTTTACCTGAATTATCCGCAAAGGTTTGTAGTGTAGCTCGGCACAAACCTCCACCTGTACGTGACATTTTTCGTCTGCGAAGCGTGAAAGGCAATGGACAAAATAGCAGCAGCGCTTGTCCTATGGATTTTTGAGCGTAATTTTTGCGTGACGTCATCTTGGTGCAATTGCAAGAGAGAAATGCCAAAACGCATATAAAAATATGTAAACAATGCAGAAAAATGTGTTAATTTTAATACTACATGGTCCAATTTTGCACGAATCAATATATATACAAAGATTGATTAATTAGGAACACATAGCAATAATTTTGGACATGTAGCTCTTTAGATAAGTATAATTTTTAGCACATGAAAAAAATGGATGTATTAACAGTGTTTGCAATTTCATGTAGACCAAAAGGAAGGTGTGCAGCAAAGTGAATTTTTGGACTTGCCATTTTAAAAAGCCATGCAGAGTGCATATTTATATTTGTGGACGGTAGCCAACCACCATAAACTCCACAGCTTTTATTTGATGACTTTTGTACCATTTCCGAGAGGATGCATGAGTGTGGCTTTTTTGGAAGCAAATATTCTATGTCAGTAAAATATAATTTAAGCTGAACTTTTAAATGTATAATAATGTGGGCACTGTTTTGTATTAGGTACGTAACAGCGCGGTAAGATACCGCTTGAATTAGCGCCTGGCGACCTTATCCACTGGTGCATTACCTCATACCAGCACTAAAAGAATCAGTTACTAACAAAAATAAATAGGTAGTGAAGTTCATTGTAGTTGATTCCAAAGATTTTTTTTTTATATATTTTTTAAAAGTTAACAAAACTTAATTTATTTTTATGTTGTTAGCAATTCGAGAAAAGTTTGAATAATAAAAATTTTCTATTTGATTGACGAACCACAAAAATCACATAAATCTAAAATTTCCAAAATTACAAAGTTGAAATGAACACAGTACAATAAAAGGTAATAACACAAATACAAACCCTACAATACTCCCTCTTCTAGAGAATTAATGTTATATAAATTAAAAGTAACTCGTTTCTTATTTGATGTTGTGTTATTCATTGTATTAGTGTTTGTTTCTGGTATTAGTTCTGTTTCAATGGTTGCTGGTTTTAGTCTTTCTATCGGAATTGTTTTAACCTCATTATCTACTTCAAGTTTGATATATTTTTTGTTTTTTTCAACAACCTTATAAGGTCCTTCGTATGGTTGTTGCAATGATCTTTTATTAATAACACGCATAAAAACAAATTTACAAGTCTCCAAATCCTTTGGTATATATACACCAGTATCAGAATTTTGATTATGCCTTAAATTTGATTTAACATTTTTAAAATGTTCCCGTAAATTACCTAAAACTTCAATTGGGGAAAATTTTTCTTCAGATGGAACAACAAGTTCACCGGGTAGGCGTAAATTTTGCCCAAAAACCATCTCAGATGATGTGGCTGAAATACTTTCTTTATACATCGATCGTAAACCAAGAAGTATTATCGGCAGCTCATCATACCAATTGTTGATTCCATTTCTAGCCATTATCGTAGCTTTTAACTGCCTGTGAAACCGTTCTACCATACCATTCTCTTGAGGATGATATGCAGAAGTTGTAACGTGATGACTACCAAGCAATTTTGTTAGTTCCGAAAACAATTTTGACATAAACTGAGTACCCTGATCTGTAGTGATTTTTAACGGTACCCCAAAACGTGAAACATATTCTCTAAAAAATTTATTTGCAATCACTGCCGCTGAAATGTCCTTTAATGCATATGCCTCGGGCCAACGCGTCAACCTGTCAACTATTGTAAAAATGTAACGATGTCCTTTCGATACAGGAAGAGGTCCAACAATATCTAAATGAATATGATCAAATCTACTTTTGGGAATCGGAATTTTAATTACTGGAGATTTTGTGTGACGATTAACCTTCGATTTTTGACAATATATACATTCTTTTGACCAAATATTAATTTCTTTGTGCATTTTTGGCCAATAGTACTTTTTAATAATTAGACGACGTGTAGCTTTTGTACCAGGATGTGTAATGCCATGTAGCATATTAAACACTGTCTTGCGTAAACAATTTGGAACAAATGGCCTAGGATTCTCACCTGTCATTTCACACCAAATATTAAAATTTAAAAGTGGAATTTGAATTAATTTAAGGTTATGTGATGTAGCTCCAGATTTTAATGTGTTAAGTTCCTCATCCTGTTCTTGTTCGTTTTGTAAAACTTTGAAATTCAGTTCTGTACCCTTAATTGCATCAACTTCGAAAGCTCGAGATAATGTGTCAGCTATAATGTTCTCCTGTCCTTTAATATATCGTATGTCATTAGTAAATTGTGCAATGAATTCCATATATCTAGTTTGTCTCGGACTACGTTCGGTTTTTGAACTCAAAGCATATATCAAAGGCTTGTGATCCGTAAAAACTGTAAATTGTCGTTGTTACCGCCGTTCCATTAGGGTACTTTTAAAGTAATTTGCATATTATCCCTAGTGGGTACTTGTACATACATAATTTCACTACTGTAAATTTCCAAACATACATATGTATTCATTTCATTGTTTTGTCATTTTGAAACGGTAAAATAAGAAGTTAAGAAAGAATATAAATGGATCAACGTTAAAATATGCGAGTTCAGTTCGCACGTAAAATCTGATACAAATGTTTTTAAAAGTAGTTTAACACAAAATACAAATCGTTACTACTGTGAAAAGTTGTTTCATTGAAAGCGAACTCCTGAAATTACAAATCTTTTAAAAACATTTTTAACTATCGCGCTGCGCGTACAAATAAAATTTAATAAGTAATCGAATTACATACATATAACTACAATCCGAATGGCTGACGAACGTGACTCTGGCAATGAGTACAATTGTCTTAAATGCAGTGAAAAAGATGATAACCGCATGGTACAATGCGATCAATGCGACAAGTGGTATCATTTCTGGTGTGTCGGGGTTAATAGCGGAATAGAAGACCTAAGCTGGTGTTGCGATAAATGCGATCCCCTAGCTTCTACCGCAACTACGAGTGCTGCAACTCCTCCGAGCACAGCACAAATTAATATGGTGCCGACTTATAATTCAACTTGTCCGCAATCAACATCTTCGCCTGCACATGACGCATCGCTACCGGTCACTACTGCTCTAATTTCATGGAGTACAGCAGACGGCCATGGAGAGGCAGTTACAAACACGGTGAGTGCAGCCGATCAAGTAGTTACAACTACCCATAACTCGAGATCGATGCAGGCGTCGGTTTCAACCGCCGCAGGCAATCAACGCTATCCACCTGCAACATTAAATGCACGGCTGTCGAGAGACGTCACAACTACAACTTGTTCATCGCAATACTTCCGACTACACGCCGAAGCAGTCAGCAGCCAGGTACAAAGCGTAAACGACCTCGAGCTACGTCTAGCAATGCTGGAGGAAGAGAAGTTGATTAACCAAACATATCTACAGAAGAAGTATGAAATACTGTCGCATTCGCAAGGTGGTGCAGCCATGGGCGTTTGTGGGAGCAGAATTAGAACATCTCCAACACCAGCACAAATAGCAGCAAGGCAAGCTATTCCGAAGGAGCTTCCGCATTTTCATGGCACTCCGGAGGAATGGCCCCTTTTCATTAGCAGCTTCGAGACAAGCACAGAAGTCGCAGGCTATTCAAATGCTGAAAATTTAATGCGATTACAGGCGTGCTTAAAGGGTAAAGCCCGAGAAATGGTACGAAGCAAATTACTATTGCCAACAATGGTTCCGGAAATTATAGCAACGCTCCGCATGTGTTTCGGCAGACCAGAGTTAATCATCGAACATTTAATCGAAAAGGTACAAAAGGTTCCACCTATAAAAGATAAACTCGATGCCCTTATAGATTTTGCGCTTTGTGTACGCAACGTGTACTCTACGATGGAATCCTGTCACATGGACGCGTATATGAATAATCCCATGCTAGTAAAGGAGTTGGTGGATAAATTGCCCAGCAATCACAAGCTTGCTTGGGCTATGCAACCAAAACCACAACGCGAACCCATAGTGAAAGTGTTTAGTGATTGGCTTTACGCGCTCGCCGAAGCGGCTAGTCAAGTAGTCGGCTTTGCCAGCCCGAAAAAAAGCGGGATAGTAAACACGCACGTACAGTCTTCTGGAGCACAACGAAATGCGAGCTGTGCTCACTGCAAGGCTGACGGACATCGAGTTGCACAATGCGAGGAGTTTAAAAAGCTGAGTCCAGACCGCAAATGGGAGGTTGTCCGTAGCTTAAAGCTATGTCGCCAATGCCTGAACGCTCATCGTCGGCGTTGCTTCGTAACAAGGACTTGCGGCTTAGACAGCTGTAACGCCAAACACCATCCCCTTCTGCACGGGAACACTGCTTCGTCCGCACGAAATACTCAAGCAAACTCTACTGCGGTCGCCACTGGTAGCGTGAATTCACACAACGACCCAAGGGAAAACGCCTCTTCCTACTTTCGCATCCTACCGGTTCGTATACATGGTAACAATAACTATATTGACACTTTTGCCTTTCTAGACGAAGGTTCGTCGGTAACTCTCATGGAAGAAGAAATATTTCAGCAACTCAACATAGCAGGAGTGCCTGATCCATTATGTCTTCGTTGGACGGGCGACAATACCCGTAACGAGGAGTCATCCGTTAGAACGTCACTCAACATTAGTGGCAGATATAACGACAAAGTGTTCAACATTAAGGGAGTTCACACCGTGAACCATCTCGGGTTGCCGAGGCAGACTGTCGATATGACGAGGATCGCCACGGATTATCCATATATGAAAGGCCTTCCCATTAAGTCCTACTTCAACGCGAAGCCAACAATACTCATTGGCTCCGATAATTGGCAACTGGCCGTACCGCTTAAAATTCGGGAGGGCAGCTGGCATCAACCTATAGCTACAAAAACGAGGTTAGGCTGGGCCATACAAGGTCAGCGCGGTGGTTCGTCGTCGAACACATGGTTGAATATACACTCATGTGCGTGCAAAGCTGAATACGAAAAGCTGCATGAACTAGTAAAACAACATTTCAAATTAGATGACAGCCAACGCGTGACGCTGCTCTCTTCAGATGACCAAAGGGCACTAGCCATACTCAACTCTACGTGCAGGAAAATCGACGACAGGTATGAAGTCAGTTTACTTTGGCGACATGAGGAAGTTAAATTACCGGACAGTTACGAGATGGCTCGTAAACGCTTAGTTTGTCTCAACAACAAATTCCGAAAAGACCCTTACCTCAAGGAGGCTATGCAGAAACAGATAGACAATCTTCTAACTAAAGGTTATGCGAAAAAGTTGAGCGCTGTAGAGTTAGCGGAACACAAAGGACGCGTTTGGTATCTGCCTATATTCGTGGCACACAACCCAAACAAACCCGCTAAAGTCCGACTAGTTTGGGACGCAGCAGCAAAAAGCAACGGTATGTCCCTTAACGACGCTATACTGTGTGGACCCGATCTTCTTGTTCCCCTAGTAGATATTTTGTTGGATTTCCGCGTTGGTAAAGTTGCCATATGCGGTGACATCGCGGAGATGTTTCACCAAATTAACGTTAGCGATAATGATATGCACGTCCAAAGGTTCCTCTGGCTGGACGAGGACGACGACATTTCCAAACCGAGTGTGTACGTCATGCGCGCCCTCACTTTCGGCATTAGCTGCGCCCCATGCATTTCTCATTATGTGCGTGACAAAAATGCAAACACTTTCTTTGAGCAGTTTCCCAAAGCCGTTGATGCAATAAAAAGACGCCATTACGTGGACGACTTTATTTATAGTGAGGACACCGAACAGGACGCCATTGAAATTGGGAAAGCAGTGAAGCATATACATGCCTCAGCTGGGTTTATTATCCGCAATTGGGCATCAAACTCCGCTGCAGTTCTCGAGGAAATGGACGGAGGCCGCGCTAGGGCCCAGGCACCATTAGAGTTGAACTCAAGCGAGAAGATTCTTGGAGTTTACTGGGATCCCAACAAAGATGTGTTTAAATATGCATTCAGGTTTGCAAGGCTGAAGCGGAACGTCGTAGAAGGCGATACAACACCAACAAAACGTGAAATACTGCAGATACTGCTTCAAGAGATATGGCGCTCGCGCTTAGGTTGGGATGAGGAGATCGATGATGTCATGAATGTAAAATGGCGGCAATGGAAGGCCGGCCTAGCAGCTATGTCCTCTGTAGAAATACCTAGGTGCTACTCACTTTATCTAACCGTTGCTGAGGATGTCCAATTGCATACATTCGTAGATGCCGGCGAATATGGCTACGCAGCGGTGTGCTACCTACGTGTCAAAACTGCTACTCATATAGATGTGTGTATTATAGCTGCTAAGTCAAAGGTAGCTCCTCTAAACCCGGTATCCATTCCACGACTGGAACTGCAGGCAGCGGTGCTGGGCGCGAGGCTGTCTTCAAAAATTCAGCGTATATCACGACTAAAAATACAGAGAAAAATTTTCTGGACTGACTCAACAACTGTGTTGAAGTGGCTAAGCATGGAACCTCGTCAATTCCGCCAATTTGTAATGTTCCGTGTTGCAGACATCCTGGAGCACACGAACCTGAACCAGTGGAAATGGGTTCCATCCCTACTTAATCCTGCGGACTTGGCGACTAAAGTCGACACCAAAACTAATAACAGCATCTGGTTTAACGGGCCCACATTTTTACAAGACGACGAAAGCGAGTGGCCGTACCGAGAAGACTTGGGACCGATAGACAACAGCGAAGTCAAAAATCACGTGCTCCTCGTACATACCCAGAAACTAGACCAGAAGAAACTCGTTGTAAACTTTGAATATTTTTCAAGTTGGAAAAGGTTGTATCGTGCTTTCGCAACATTCATTCTCTACATAGAAAGGCTCAAAGCAAAGGTTCGCTCAACAAAACTTCCCGATGAGGTCAGTTTCGAGATGATTAAAACAGCAAAGAGGACATTAATAGCTCAGGCACAGCTCAGCGAGTACGGGAGTGAACTACTTTACTTAAAAGATGGTAAGAGTCTAGGTAAGGATAGTAAACTAAAAGCACTCAATGTATTTGCAGATGAGCTCGATGTTATACGAGTTAGAGGCCGAGATGAATTCCTGTCTGCTCGTAATGCTATCGTTTTGCCTAGCAAACACTACCTCGCCCACCTCATAGTCAAAGATTTTCATGAAAGATACCACCATCTATCACACGAAACAGCTATAAATGAAATAAAAGGAAAATTCCATATACCTCGTCTGCGCGTACTCTATAGAACGGTGCGTCGGATGTGTCAAACGTGCGAGAACAAATGTGCAAAACCTCGCGATCCGCAAATGGCTCCCTTACCAGCCGCAAGACTTGCTTGCTTTGAACGACCTTTCAGCTATGTTGGGATCGACTATTTCGGGCCTATGATTGTTGCTGTTGGTAGACGCCGAGAAAAACGTTGGGGCGTTATCTTTACGTGTCTCACGGTTCGTGCCGTTCACATCGAGATCGCCTACAGCCTAGACACGAATTCATGCATCTTATGCCTTCGAAACTTTATCTCCCGACGTGGAGTACCCAGAGAAATCTACACCGACAACGGCACAAATTTCAAAGCGACCGAGAAGATTTTACGTACCGAGGCAAATGACATGGACTATGCAGCAATTAAATCCAAGTTCGACGACATCAAGTGGAAGTTCAACCCACCAGCAGCGCCTCACATGGGAGGAGCTTGGGAACGCCTAATAAGGTCAATCAAAGCAGTGCTAAATGCAATGCACCCCGAACATAATTTTAACGACGAAACACTTCGTAGCGCACTCCTAGAGGTCGAGTTTATAATTAACTCGCGACCGCTCACCTTCGTATCTATAGATGCATGCGACGATGAAGCAATTACGCCGAACCACCTCTTAATCGGCTCATCCACGGGATATAAGCCCATCGGTAGTAGCGGAAATTTGCACCAGCGCTATCGCCAAACCCAATTGTATGTTGACAGGTTCTGGCAAAGATGGATAAAAGAATATCGGCCGATGTTAACGCGGAGATCCAAATGGTTTGACAAGCAGCCCAACTTAAAAGTCGGCGACGTCGTTTTAATCGTCGATGAGTCTATGCCGCGAAACTGTTGGCCAAAAGGCGTCATAGTGGACGTCGTGCTAGCAAACGACGGACAGGTCCGACGAGCAACTATAAATACGGCACGCGGAACTCTAGTGCGACCTGCAACAAAAATAGCCGTGCTAGACGTCGGTAATCCAAAGAAGTAAGCTTGCTTACGAGGGGAAGGATGTTACCGCCGTTCCATTAGGGTACTTTTAAAGTAATTTGCATATTATCCCTAGTGGGTACTTGTACATACATAATTTCACTACTGTAAATTTCCAAACATACATATGTATTCATTTCATTGTTTTGTCATTTTGAAACGGTAAAATAAGAAGTTAAGAAAGAATATAAATGGATCAACGTTAAAATATGCGAGTTCAGTTCGCACGTAAAATCTGATACAAATGTTTTTAAAAGTAGTTTAACACAAAATACAAATCGTTACTACTGTGAAAAGTTGTTTCATTGAAAGCGAACTCCTGAAATTACAGTCGTCCTTCTAAAAGATAGCGAAAATGTTTAATGTTCAAATAAATAGCTAGCAACTCCCTGTCAAATGCACTGTATTTAACTTCGGATGGAGAAAGTTTCTTAGAAAAGAAAGCTAGTGGCTCTGATTTGTTATCAAACGTTTGATGTATGACACCACCAATTGCCGTACTAGATGCATCCACATTTAAAGAGAGTTTGGCATCTTTGTTAAAATGATTTAACAATATCGTAGACGCAAACTTTTCTTTAATACATTCAAAGGCTTTATTTGTTGTGTCATCCCAAATTAAGGACTTGTCACGTTTCTTAGTTGTTCGATTGATTAAATCGTAGATAACTGCCGTAAACTTAGCTAATTTTGGTACATATCGATGGTAATAATTAACCATGCCTATAAATTTCTGCGCCTGTTTAATAGATTTAGGACGTTCAAAACTACGAATAGCTATCACTTTTTCATCAGAGGGTCTAATTCCTGCCCCAGAAATATTATGTCCTAAAAAGTCAACACTTGTTACACCGAAAGTACATTTACTTGGTTTGATATTTAACCCGTACTCTGTTAGGCGTTGGAAAAGTATACGGAGATCTTTAAAATGCTGTAAAATGTCATTTTCACTTGCAACCAATAGATCATCAATATATGTAAAAACAAAATCTAAACCACTAACTACTTCATTAATAAATCTTTGAAAAGTTTGCGCTGAATTTTTTAGTCCGAAAGGCATTCGTATAAATTCAAACATACCGAAAGGTGTCGTTATTGCAGTTTTATAGATATCCTCTTCTGCCATTGGAATTTGGTGGTAGGCCCTTACCAAATCTAATTTCGAAAATATATACTTATTTCTGAGATTCATGTTAAAATCTTGAATATGAGGTAAAGGATAACAGTCCGGTACAGTCACAACATTAAGTCTCCGAAAATCACCACAAGGACGCCAGTCATTCAGTTCTTTTTTAGGTACAAGATGCAGTGGAGATGCTACACAAGAGTTTGAAGGTCTACAAATCCCTGTCCTCACTAAAAAATCGAATTTGGCTACTTTAAATTTAATCGGATCCAAGCGCCTTGGCTTAGAGAATGGCAGATTTCCTTCAGTAAAAAGTCTGTGAACCGTAGAATGTTTAACCGTTTAATTTAGTTTGTTTGCTTTATCAAAAATAAATAGGCGACGTGTTTGCCGCCACAACAACGGATGACTCTAGTTTAACGAATTTTTGTTTTTAGAAAAAGCACAAGGCTGTTGACATTTCTGAGCCTTATCACCAAATTTGTAATGGTATCTACATAACCAATTTTGACTATCACGAGATTTTGATCTACCTCTATATGGACTTCTAAAACAATTCCTATTATATGATCTATATCTAGAATTTTGATTAATTTGTTGCTTAATAGAATTTAATTCAAAGGAAAGTTTTTGAAAATTTTCGCACATAAGATTCGTCGTTTTAACTAAATTATCAATAATTGTGTCTTGTGATTTAGAATTTTGAAAACTATTCATAGCTGATATTTCGGTTTTATTAATCACTTCCCAAATATTATCAGCTAGTTTCACCAATTCATTTATATCATTGGTACTTGAACTAGCTAATATCACACTAAGATTTTTTGGCAATTTTCTCAGCCAAAGTTTCTTTAAAATATCTAGACTAAAATTGGAACCTGCAAGCAACATGAGCGACCGATAAAATTCAGAGGGTTTACGATCACCCATCTCTGAATCTGACAAAATTTTATCTAATTTCTTATTTTCGCTTAAAGCATGCTTTTCAATTAAGACTTTCTTTAATTCTGAAAACTTGTTGTTATGCGGAGGATTTTGAATGAAATCTAATATTGTAACTATTACTTCTTGCGGAAGCGCTGTGGTTGTGTGTTCATATTTTGTAGTATCTTGTGTAATGTTTTTCATGTTAAATTGCATTTCTGTATGCACAAACCAAGCTTCTGGACAACTTGTCCAAAATTGCGGAAGCTTCACTGAGGTTGCATATACCTCATTATTATATTGACTAGCATAAGGATTTGCCAACTCCTCTTGAAAAGAGTTGTTTTGCAAATCTATAAGCGAGTCATTTAAATTATTAGTCCCTGTAGATGTGTGTGTATCATGTTGTGGCGAACGAAACATTTTTACTAGTTTGGTGCTATAAAAAAAATCTCGAAAGGGAAGTTCACAATTTAAAGTGTTTAGCCGATAAAAAAAAATGGTTACTGATTGAAGAGATAAATAATTGCATAATAAATTAAGTACAATATATATGTATATATATGTAAGTAGTAAAGCTCAACAATTTATAAAATTACAAAGTTGAAATGAACACAGTACAATAAAAGGTAATAACACAAATACAAACCCTACATTCATGTATCTATTTACTGTAGAAACTGCTTTTGTATGTATGCAATTGCCAGCAAACTAAACCAGCAACTGTCTACATTCACCTTGGAAATATACCTACTACACTGCTTCCACTTTTTCCACAGGTTTGCGTCCGTAGGAAACGAAAAAAAAACTTATATCGCACGCTTTTCTTTTGTTTTTACTATTACACATTGCCACGGCACACTTCATTTTGCTTTGTAATGTCTCAATAATTTTTTAAAACCACGCAGAAATATTAACGCACAAATATTAAAATTGGTATTTGATTTTTTCGTATGCTCACATTCAACAATTGCACCAAGATGACGTCACGCACACAGCTCATTCTGTCAAAATCACAAAGAGCGGATTAGCGGTACCGCGATTGGCGCAATCTCTATTTCTCTCAATCGTGGGGTTACGCCAATATTTATTTGCATGAGAGTCTCTCAAAAACTCAACGAGAAATAATGACATATGCATCAGAGTTAAGGCGAAGTAAACGATTGGCATCGGAGTTTTCCAACCGTGGGAGAATATTTGTGTGGCTAAAGCCTGGCGAAGAGCCCAGATTAGTGAGCAGCAGAGCCGAGGTTAACGCTCTTATCGACACTAGAATATAAGAACCATTACACTTAAGTATGTTTTTTATGTATGTCCAAATGTTTGTTATAATTTATGCCAGATTAGAGAATAAGTTACATAAATGTTTTTTCTTTTTCTCTCTTTGCCGTATTCTCTCTATTTATTGCTTGTTTACTTTTTTATTTATGTGTCTCAGATTATTTTTATTGCTTGTTTGCCTTTCTCAACTGTTCGTATATTACCCTCCTGTTTCGTTTAATGTACTTAATTGCAATCACTTGTGCTTTTGCTGTGTTGTATATTTCTTGTGCTTGATGCTATTTGTAGTTAACCCCTTTCAGTGTCAGTGTGTCCCATTTAAATAGGAAATCAGCCTCCAGCATTAATGATAACCACAAAATTTTAATAGATATCTTATGCCAACAGTCAAATGGCCTTAACGTGGTGCATTTTAATGCTCGAAGTCTTAATGGTAATAAATTGGACTATGTTAGACATATTTTTGGAGAATCGGGGGTTGATGTCATCTGTGTTTCAGAAACGTGGTTTAATCCAAACTTTACTGACTTTTATTATGGTATCCCACATTTTAATGTTATACGCCACGACAGACCAACCAAAATAGGAGGGGGTGTTGCAATTTATTGCAAATCAACCCTAAAAATGAAACCTCTAACTGTATCATCATTGCGGAAATCTCAGATAATGTCAGGGCACTCGCTGTGTATATAATCCTAATAGGTGTTGCATGTTAGACTCGTTTTTTGTTGAGCTATCTATGTTTTTGATTGAGTATGAGCGTTATGTTATATGTGGTGATTTTAATGTAAACCTTCTTTTAGGAGATTGCTATGCCGTTAAACTACTTGACCATGCAGGTCTTGCTGTGGTTAACAGATTAGTACCAACAAGATACGCCAACAACTCAAATCCTAGCCTTCTGGACCTTGTTATTGTCTATAATATTGACCATATTCTAAAATTTGACCAAATGTTTTTTATTTCAGACCATGACCTTATATTTAGATGTGTCGTTTAACAGTCCCGCTGATAGTGCTACTTTTATGTATCGCGATTTGAAGTCTGTTAATGTTAGTAATCTGCATGTCGCTTTGTTAAATGTTAACTTAAATAACTGTTGGTTCATTGAGAGTGTAGATGCAAAACTTGACTTCCTAAATAAAAATCTGACAAAACTATTCGGCGACCATGTCCCGCTTCGTACCGTTCGGGCCATAAACAGCGCTTGCCCTTGGTACAATACAAGAGTTAGCTCAGCTATAAAAGCACGTAATAAGTTTTATAGTAAATGGAGGAGAACCAGAACTGACTTTACTTGGACACAGTACAAATCTGCCCGAAATAAAGCTACTGCCATTATAAGAAATGCAAAGCGATTCTATTGCAATTCTAAACTGAATCCGTCTCTACCTTCAAGAGATTTATTGCGCAATTTAAAAACCTTGAATGTACATGGAGAACTTAGACCTGAATGTAAAATTGACCTAAATGTACTTAATAAATATTTTACTAGCAGAGTAGCAGCTATAGCGCTCCATTCCCAAATTTAGTTAATAATTTTGCTTTAGAAGAAAAATTTCAATTCGATGGAGTAACAGAGGCTGATGTTTTAAGATCTCTGATGGCGATTAAGTCCAACGCAATCGGCAATGATGGGATATCATTGACGTTTGTAAAACTTGTGCTGCCATTTATTTTGGGAACTCTAACACATATCATCAATCACTGCTTCACAACGGCATATTTCCCAATAGAGTGGAAAAAGGCTTTGATTGTTCCTGTTGCTAAGAAGTATATTGCCACCGATCCAAGGGACTATAGACCGATAAGCATACTGCCAGCCTTTTCTAAAGTGTCCGAGTCCCTAATGGCAGCACAAATCTCGACATTTGTCCAAAGAAATAATCTGTTATCTCCATTGCAGTCAGGGTTTAGAGCTAAGCATAGCTGCGCCACGGCTATGTTAAAAATAACTGATGATATTAGGGTACAGTTTGATAATGGCTATCTGACACTTCTCTGCCTTCTGGATTTTTCTAAAGCCTTTGACATGGTAAGTCACGACCTTCTTTGCCGCGGCGTAGCGTGACGTGGTGTGCGCGCCGGTCGCGCTAGGTACGCGGGGCGCGAGCGCGACGCGCGCGGTGTGGCGCGCTGACGCGGGCCGCCGCGAAGCTAAGCAAATTTAATGTTTGAAAGAGAAATAACGTCAATTGATTTTATTTCGTTTTTAAAAAGGTAATAATGTCAATTTACTTTATTTCGCACCAGGGTGGGAAATAAAGTCAATTGACCTTATTTCCGTTGATGTTATTACCTGTCACCTCCCTCCTCAGGATCAAAAACTTATAAGTAATTTTTTCTTCAATATTTATTACCAAAATGTTAGAGGTCTAAATACAAAATTAACCAAGCTGTACTTAAAGTCTTTTGATTTAAATTATGAAATTTTGGTTTTTACTGAAACTTGGCTAAAACCGAATGTGCTTATTACTGAAATATTGTGTAATAAATATAAAGTATTTAGAAATGATCGCTTGAATAAACATGGCGGTGGTGTTTTATTAGCTGTTCAGAGTGGCTTTTCCTCTGAAAAAGTTGAGTTCACTGGTTCAGATGATGTTGAATTCCTCTGTGTTAGAAAACGGTGCCCCTCAAGTAGTGTTTTTCTTGTTACAATTTATATTCCACCTAACTCTAACCCTTCGGTTTACTTTAAACATTCGTCATTATAGCTCTGTTTATTTGCGATGGTCAAGCCCTGCGATTTGATCGTTGTGTTGGGGTGATTTCAATCTAGCGTGTGTTTCCTGGGATTCGGTGGATGGAATTCTGGTGTCAAATTCTTCTCGGGATGCACTCAACCAATTTCTTAACGAACTTTCCGTTCTTGGTCTATATCAGATTAATACAGCTATCAACAACTTAGGTAAATGTCTAGATTTAGCGCTTATTGATGATATTGCTAAATGTACTATAATACTCGGCGATCCTTTAGTTTTACCTGTAGACTCTTATCACCCACCACTTGAATTGTCCTTGGCACCATCCTAAGATTCATGTTATTGTCCTGAAACTAGAAAGCCGAAAGGTCGGCGATATTCTTTCAAATAGCTATATCTAAAATAATCTGGCCTGAGTACGACGGGGATGTAGAGAACAGTTCCTTACACTTTAGTAAAATCTTGAACAATATATTCAGTAAACTCATTTCCTCTTGTTAAATAAAATACCGGATCTCGTTAACTCGGAGCTAAAGCATTTAAAAATCAAAAAACTAAATCATTTAAACTTTATAAAAAATCAGGCGTGTCTTCTCACTACGTCGCGTACTCCATCCTTCGTCATAAATACAATGCCTTAAACAGAAAATGTTACAGGAACTGCATAAATAAAATTCGCATTAACATCGTTTCTAATCCCAAGTCATTTTATCATTTTTTTAACTCAAAACGTAAAATAAATGGGTTTCCCTCAACACTGAAATTAGATGATGTCATTTCTAGTGATGATAATATAATTGCTGATATGTTTGCAAATTATTTTGAATCGAACTGTTCTGTCGAGCCAAATGAAAAACCTTCTAGCTGTCCTTTTCCACTCCCACAGTTTGACCACATCCGTATTCCTTCAATCTCTGCTGACAATGTTCTCCTTCATTTGAATAGTTTAAAAAATTCTTTTTTAAGCGGTCCGGATGGTATTCCCTCCTCTGTCCTAAAAAGTTGTGCTGATTATCTATATAAGCCATTAACAAATATCTTCAATGCTTATCTAAAGCAGGGAGTTTCCCCTCTTTGTGGAAGGAGTCGTATATCTTGCCGCTTTATAAAAATGGAAGCAGGTAGAATATTGCGAATTATAGGGGAATCGCTAAGCTGGGTGCCATTCCTAAAGTATTTGAAGAAATCGTCACGGAAGAAATATCTTATTCCATAACGCCTGCTATCGATATATCACAACTAGGGATAAATCGATACCATCAAGGTATTACTCAAATCAGTACTTTTACTTGTATCAAACAAGGTATCGATACCTACTCAGTATCGGAAAGGTATCGAGTACTTGTACATAGAACTACTATTTTGCATATTTTTCAAAGTTATTGTGCTTTTTTCACACAAACAATGCATTTTTATAAGATAATTTTTTAAATATTTTTTCACGCAAAAATTTAAGACAACAATTATTTTTTTTCTATAGGATTTGATTTCAAAAACATTAGAATACATTTTTACAAGATTAATAGAGAAATTTTTTTCATATAAAATAAGTTTAAGGAAAGAACTCTTTTTTTGTTATATTTCCCAAAAACATCAACTTTTCCAAGTGTTTTCCTGAAAGGGGGTTTCGATATTTTGATATAGTTGCCAGGGACAGATGACCCAACAACCGTTATGTACAGACAGGCTTGCTTATATAGCTGCGGAAATGTAGTGCGCATTTCTCCCATTCCTCTAATGGTTTGCTTTTCAAAGAATATGCTGAAGCATAAGTTTTGCGCTTCCGATACAAGTACTTTTTTTCGTTACCTACCTGGATCGCAGTAAAAAGTATCGAGTACAAAAATAATTGGTAAATTGAGAAAAGTATCGAGTATGTACTTGGATTTACTTGTATCGATTTAAGTTAATGGGTATCCAGGAGATAGGAACAATTACAGGCGAACCTGAGTAATGTGTTTAAATGGTGCGAAGTAAATTCTATGTCACTTAACTTGAAAAAATTTAAATTTATGTGTTTCTCTAGAAGAGCCTTTCAATCATATAGCTACCGCATTTGTGAACATAGTGTTGATCAGGTAACTAATTTCACCGATCTAGGCGTTACCATGGACCCTAAGCGTGAATTTAAGTCCCATGTAAACTCTTGTGTTAATAGAGTCAAGGGCGTCTTGGCTTATGTCACTAAAGCTCTCTTCACCTCCCTAGTCAGGCCGATCTTAGAATATGGGTCGGTCGTATGGAACCCTAGATTACAAAGGCATTCTGAAAGATTTGAGTCGGTACAGAAACAATTCTTATTATTCGCATTAAAAAATCTGCCTAGGGATTCGATATTAAATCTCCCGCCGTACAAAATCCGCTTGAAGCTCATAAATTTGCCAACGCTTCACAGCCGTAGAGAGATGCTCGGGGTTTCGTTCATGTTTAAGATCTTGAACGGGATGGTCAGTAGTCCCTTTCTACTGAACCAGATCACGTTTTGTATTCCTTCAAGACCTTCAAGACATTACAAGCCCATTAAGCTAACTATTTGTAGAACAAATTTTGAAATGCATGATGCCTTTCGTTGCCTATGCCAGGAAACTTTTGAAATGCATGATGCTTTACGGAGTTTGTGCCAAGATTTTAACAAACATTATGATTGCTTCGACTTATCTGAATCGCTTTTTTGTAACTAAATAAATTATATCTTTAACCGGTAACGAAAAATTACACAATATCTATGACCACTTAGTACAATTGTAAGCGGCTTCGTATACTTTCGCGACCGCGTAAGACAATACGAGCATGGATCGGAAACTCGGCCTTTCCGACCACGCCCAACAGTTCGTCCACAGCGCGGAGCGGAAACTAGGCCTTTCCGCGTGCCACACATACAAAGTAATGACTTTGTGAACATGGATCGAAAACTCGGCCTTTCCGACCATGACAATGAAAATATTTTATGACGCGGCTTAGTTTTCGAGAGAAATATTTTTGCATTGCTGATGGCGAATACAGACGACGATGGAACGAAGTGCTGTATGAGCTTCCCAACGATAAAGACGTAGTTCGAATGGACACCGACGCTCCAGCTGTAAAAGTATTAAACTAGGAACCCGCTGGTGGAAGCAGAGGAAGAGGGAGACCCACTGTGTTAGAAAGTCCAGGTGGCTTCACTTGGCATTTCCAATTGGCCTAAGTTGGCACAGAAGAGAAACGACATCGTGCTCTTTTGGACTCTGCCAAAATCACTTAGGCAATTTCTTTAATCTGATGTTGGAGAAGATAATAAGAGCTGCATAACTGAACCGATCAAGAACAATTTTTTACAAGAGCGTGTAATTGCTGGCTTACGCCGATAACATCGACATCATCGGTAACAAGAAGTCTGTTCGTTCTTTTCCAAGTTGAAGAAGAATTTTGAGCACGTGTTCATTTGATTTAAATACGTTTTTATTTGATTTTACTATTTTCCCCCTCAGTGAGTGCTAAATTTTAGTATGAAAGTATTATTTTTAAATACGAACATTTTTAAACGATAGTCAAATAAAACATTAATTTTTGCCATGCGTTATTTCCATCAGTGTACTCAAGGTGCCTTATAAAACATTTAAATATATTATAAACTCATTTTGTGGACTACTATTCTTATAGTGCAACATACAATTTATAAACAAACAATAGATCAACATTTTACACTACGAATCCCGACTGCTGGAGCTGTTTTGATCTTATAATATGCTATTTTATAGCTCTTCCGCATCGCGCTAGTAAGATATTATAAAACTTTTATAAAGCTGTTTGTGTTATCCAGGTGCACAGAGTAGTACTTTGAGAGCTTCTGAATCAGGCTTTTTATGGACGGGGAGATAAGGGAGTTGAATTTTACCTCAGCAATTTCTGACCGAGAAAATTGCGACATTACTTCGATGTAATACTCATGACAAACTCTTTTGTATTTCTACTAGACCAATGGATTTTTTTTCACCTTCCTTTCATTCTCACCTGACATGCTTCTTATTTCAGAAAAACTTTGCCAATTGCCTGCAAACAACTTGAAAATTGGCCTAATTATTATCTAGGGGATAATATTATGCTAAGCAGGATGTTTTTTTCAACAAATTAGACCAAACTTGGTAAATGTCAGGTTCCGCTGTAACCTGTATTGGTATTTCTATACAAACTAGAAAAAATTCTTTTTAAGAAAAATTATTTTTATTTCTAAAGCAGGAGCTTTTTAACTCCACCCAAATCAATGAGTTCTTAACTGCTGTTATCGAGTTCGTTTACTGGAAGAGGCTACTTGAAAGCGATTAGACCAAACGATGTGTGTTTCGTTGTGGACCATGGTAGCAGCCAAATCTGCTACAATACTCAGAACGATGTGATGGCTGGTTTTTGCTGATGGTATTGCTGAACTTGGTCCTTAATATGGCCTTTCATTTCCAATGGAGACCGCTCAGATCCACTAGTAGCCCAGTGAAACTGCTTGCTGAGCACAAGGTTTAGCCCCTTCACTAGGACGTGAAGGGCTCGCTATGCATATAGTTTATCGATAAAGTAAGACTATATTCCGTGGCAGTACTAAATTCGTGGTTCTGACAGGTCTGTATCTTAGTGCAGTATAATGTACAGCGTTTCCTTGTCTTTGCCCTAAGCGTTGCCAACTAACTATTCGAGGACTACTACTACTACTTATAATGAGAGGGGAGAGAACATTTTTGGCTTATATAAAATCTCAAAGTATTTTACTTGATTCCTGACCTCACTATTCAAAGTCGTGAATGATACCGGTCGAACAAACAAACAGTTAAAGTTCTCTATATGGACAAAGTTCTCTATATGGACAAAACTGATCCTGAGGAAATTGTGCTCAATAGTGTAACTTTATAATCTTCTATATATATAAAAATGGTCTGCAAAATGTATAGTAATTCATCAATTGAGAACGGTTGAGCCGATTTAGCTAAAATTTTATTTAGTTGTTCGCAATTGCCAGGAGAAGGTTCTTAGGAAAGAAAATTTTGGGAAAATCCTCCGTGAAAGTTGTGAAACTGAAAAAATCGAAAATTGATTTTTTTTATGAAATATTGTGTGCGATGCCTTTGAAATGGATTTCGAATGGAAAAATAGAAAATTCTAAGTGGAAAACTCGTAAAAATGATGTAAAGGTGGAAAATTCGTTGTGAAGCTTGGAAATTTTCGGATAATTGTGAAGTTCATTGTGAGCATGAATTAATTGGGAACAATTTGCTCCTATGTTTCATAACCGATTCGAATGGTTGCTGCGTTTTTGGAAAGATGTTTAGAAGGAGGAGTGCATACAGTGTTAATTTTTCTGATAGG